GAAGGTAGAGATGGTCAGACTTTAGTGGTTTCTGAGCAAGTCTTATTCATTATTTTTAATTGTATATATCCACTTTTGTCTCTTTTTTCTCTACTATGTTTATGTAGGTGATTAAACTCAGGTTAGAGTAGATTTAACTCATAACGTTACTAGAGGAATAATAAACTGCTAACAACACCAATAAGGTACTAACCCTTTTTATTATATGACTGATGACAAACTAGGAAGTCAAGCAAGAAGAAAAGTGCCATCACACCTATGTTTTATTAGCTACAGTCTCCTTAATTTTAAATGTATCTGTATTATTCTGAAAAATCTGGCCACTAATAAAAACCGATAAGCAAAATTAGTATTGTTAGATTCTCTTACTCTCTGCACTTTCATGTACTTTCAGAACTGTCTTTAAAAATTAATAACAAGTGATCTGATAAGGTGTTCAAGCAGTGTTGTTTCACAAGTTGACATCTTCAGAGGCAGAAGCCTCCTGTCCACTCAGTGAGCATATCATTGCCAGCACATCTCACTCTTGATGGAAAGTAGCTCTTTTAACTTTGAGAGAATACTTCTGTCTCCATGAATCCTTGCAGTAGTGAGAAGTGGTAGCAAGAGTAGTAATGGTGGCAGGGGGTGGTTCTGTTTGTGTTTTGAGTACCTGTTAATGTGGAGCATGTTGTGTGAAATCTGAGATCCATCCAGCTGTTTCTGGTCCACCAGAAGAATATATTTAAGCAGTAATTTGCTCTGTTTCCTTTTCCCCCAGAAATCTGCTAAAAGTGTGTAGGAGCAGGCAATGGTGTGGACAACTTGGTTTAACAGCTTGCAGTCCCTTATCCTTTCTCCAAGCTCTTGTAATCCATCCTCGTGTCTTGTGAGTGGTTGTAATGTCAACTGCTGCATGTGCTTTATCTTTTTTCGTGTCATGTGTGCTTCATTCTTTATCGTGTGCTAACCACACACCAACCATGTGACAGGCTTGCTGGTGTTTTGGTCATGAAGGATGCACGTATGGGAGAAGAGAGGGACATGTGGCTTTTGGTTGTCTTCAAAGACACTGTAATTTGTATCAACCAAAAGGTTCCTCGCATGTGCTGTGGATCCGTGAACATGCATTGCATGGTAACCATTTCCAGTGACTACTGATAGATGCTGGTTTAGAAGTGAAAGGCCACAAATCACACCTGCCTATGTCATTTCTTTAGTAAGGTTTTAAGCAGACAATTCACTCCAGAGAAAACATTTTGCAGGTTTGAGTAGTTTGAATTGTCTTTTTATTTCCCCCTCCATGACAGGTTTGCTCCTCTGTTCATAAATGTAGTCTGGTGGTTGGTAGAGTTACCCATGGTTGGTTTTGAAAGTGGGAGAATGCTCTGGGGGGGGGAAATAATTCAGAGGACTTGGGTTGTAAAGCACAGCAGGGGGGAACTCAACAAGCAAGACTCAGTGCACTTCACTGCATCCCAGCATGTTTTTGATGTGGTATGTACTGAAGCAGCTCCTCTGGAATAGGATGTAGGTGTTACAAAACAAGTCGCTAAGTTGAGATCTGTTGTCTATGTACCTGGCTGTCTTTGTTAGGGAAAAGTTCACCTGTGGGTTCGCTGCAGTTCTGCTATTCCCCATGTGTGCCAGGCTGCTGCTTGACATCTTTGATATGTGTTATAAAACTTCTTTCAGTTTCTTGCAGACTTAAAATGGACGTTTATTATTTTAAACTGAATTATTTTAGTGTTCCCTTCTTATATTGTGGGCATGGGTTTGGTTGTCCTTTTCCCCAGAGTTTTGCTGTTTAAAGACATCCAATACTTAATGCATTGAAGAGTCTCTTTGGTGTTTGTCTCCATGTTGAGGTTTCAGTATCATAATAGGTGAAGAATAGCTGAAGGGAGACATGGATTTATTTGCTTGGTTTTTGTTTTGTCTGTCTTTGGGTTTTTTCCCTTAGTTCTCAGAGCAGGCACTAAGAACGCCTTGATAATGCTTAATTCAGGTGTTTTGCCTATTTGGGATGTGTTTTCCTAACAGGCTGCACTTGGAAGTCAATGAATAACAGAGATACTGTAAAATGGGGCTGAAGTTTCCAGTGTCTCATGCAAGATGTACAGAGTCACCATTTTTTTCCTCCACTCATCAGGCAATTAATTTCACACAGGTTGTGCAAGCCTTACTGTTGATTCCTTTTCCTTTCCCATCTCGTGGTGCTGCCTGCTCACCAGCAGCCTTATTATCTTTAATTACAATGCAACATACAGCTTATGGTGTTGGCACACCTTATGAAAAAAAGCATAAATATCCTAGGTTAGTAGAGATACATGAGCAGAGTTCTCTAGCAAGTGTTGCAGTTTGCCTTGAGGATGGCTTGGACTAGACAACTTGTTGATAGCCCCAGATGAGTTAATTAACACTGGACTGGATTGAGCAGCCTCAGTCACTAAATAGTGAGTGACTAAATGAGTGATGATTAGTTCAGGAGGGTTAATGCAGTGCAGCCATACTCACCTTCTCATGCAAGAAGTCACAAGACACTTCTCAACATCCAACAACAGTTTTCAGATCTCACGATAAAATACCAGTATACACAAGCTAATACTACTAGTTAAGTTCTGGCTATTCAAGTTGTCTGTATTTGTAATACTAGGTCAAACTAGCTCTATGTAAACAAAAAAGCTTCGGGTTTTAATGGCTGTAGAAAAGACTAAGTAATTGAAAGCACAGCACTCAAAGAATAATGTTGGATTTGTAGCTTTTTCAGTACTTGTAGCCATATTCCTAGGTAGGACAGGATTTTACTAGAATTTCCAGGCACATCCATGCTAAATTTACTCTTATTAAAAGCATTCATTAGGTCAAATCTCTCTATTTTAGAGCACTCTACTGACTTAGCAGTCCCATTTGTAAAGCTTATGTCACTATTTATTATATTAGAGAGGTGCATGAAAAGTCAGTTAGGATCAGAGCCCCATTGAGCCAGGCTGTGGAAAAAATGAGTAAAGGTTTGTTTCTGCCTCGGGGACATCGCAGTCTAAATAATTGAGAGAGATTATAAAAAATAGATACAAAGACATACCTGCAAAAAAAAGGGTAAATTTTTGCAAGTGATGTCTAAAATACATTTTCTTCATAGCAATTTGTGTCTCTTCCAAGTGTTCTTTTAGTGGTTTTGGTGGTTAGTAGATGCCTGAATTTAGAGTGAAAAATAAAATGTCTGTGTATGTGGCCATATTATCATTATACTCATCTTAATATCTGTACCCCGTCAGCATCTGAGACTGCAGGAACTTAACTGCTTTACTTGTTGGCATTACACTGAAGTTGATTTCGGTGAACCATAAAAAGTTTGGTCCTGAAGGTAAAATTACACTGTATGCATGTTCCTAACATACTGCTTTGGGGATAAACATGTCTTAAATCAACTCATCGCTCACAGCTAAATTCCTTCTCCAAATGCAGTTTCCCTGTAGATAGTAATGTTCAGTAAGACTGGTTTTCTTTAAAACCATAAAGTTTTTTGAACGTAATTCTATCAATAAACATTTTTGAGCAGGGTAGCAAAGAACTCACATAATCCAAATAAACATTTTGGGGTTTTGTAAAGGAAAGGAGGGGCACGGGCCAAAGTTTTTTTAATTATCTTTCATCAGTACCTTTAATTTCTTCAAATGTGTTCCAAACGTTTGCATATTGTCTTTGCTCATGTGTACATAATGAAAACTTTTGGACTTCATCGAAACTTTATTTGGTAATTGTGCCTGTTGAAAATTAAACTTGAAGTTTATGATACCCTGGCTCCTACTTGCTCAGTTCATAGTGTGTTGTTAAGATGCTATCACTGGAGAGCTGTGTTACAGTGACATTTCTGTTGTGGCTTAATATGCTGTGGGTTCAGGTGGCTGTAATTGTGGCCTTGAGGGGCTGGACTAAAGAGTACCAGATGGGTTTGTACCCAGATATTCTTGGATTAATATTCTGAAACTTAGGTTTTGTCCTGTCTGGAATTTAAACATAGTTCACCAAGCTTTGAAGGGGAGGCAAGCACCATCCAAGGCTCTTAATGAGCACTTACTTTCCTCTTTAATTTGCCTTTTTTTTTTTTTTTCCCCCCTAACTCCTCTAGCCAGTGAAATGCAGGCAGTTACGTCTGAGCCATTTTTACAGCCCCATATGGACAAAGCACTTCAGTTTGTTCCTCAGCTTAATTCCCAAATTAATAATAGTTAGAAAGTTCTTACATCTGCATTTCCACTTTTCCTACAATGTATAAGGGTGAGAAAAAAATTTCCCTAGATATGAGGCAAGGCTTTGAAGTGTGAATAACTTTGTTACATTTGAAACAGCAAGTCTTTCCCTGAGACTAGGTTGATGTTTTTTGTTGCTCTTTGAAATAATTCCTTTTGTTTCAGGTCTAAAATTTCAATTTTATTTCTACATGGAGACAAGAGACTTAAACTCCCCCATAGTGGGGAATCAGTCAGGGTTTTTCTTCTGCTTAGAAACCTTTGACCCATCCCCTCCCCTGTTCAGTGAATAGAAATGGCAAGGCAACCTGTGCTGAGGGTGGCTAAAGATCTGCTCTCCATGTAGCTCATGAAGTGAACCTGCAGGGGAGAGGGTTTCTGGAGTCCTACTTAAGGAAAAAAATGCTTTTAAAGTATTTCTTTGCAAAAGGCAGCCTTTCTTATACCCCTGAGTATATATTAATTGGTTATAATCCTTAGTTTTGAGGCACATAATTATTCACACAGCAGCACGTGATGGATTCACAGGTACAGTTACAATTTCTTTGTACTGGCAAGCAGTGAGGGACAGAGTGAACCTTTTTTATGTAAAGCTCTGAGTTCTATAATTAGAGATACAGTACAGAATTGAGATAAGTGACAAAACATATACAAGTGCTTAGAAGTTCTACCAACTAGCCTTAAAGTTGTCTGCCTGGGTATGTCATTAGTGTAAGAGGTTTAGCATCTGTTTACATTTCTTTTTCTCGTTTTTTTTTTTTCTTCTAGATCATTACTAAATATGTTTATGATCTACTGCAAAAGGAATGCCACTTGAAGAAAGTAACTCTCCCAGTAAGTATAATTATTTTTTATTCCAAAATCATTGTTTGTTTGTATCTGTTAAAAGAAGAGCCTACAATCCAGAGTTCAGATAAAGACAAGATGTGCCAAGACTCCAAGCAGGGCATTATCTCTCCTGGGTGCATGTGAAGACCTGGTTTCCTCTTAACTTCTCACCATGTTTGTTTTCTCCAGCTGAGCCTTCCTTGCTCCACCAGATACCAGAATTTTCAAAATGTGGTATTTTTTATAGAGGAACCATTTTTTAAAAGGTTTGTGAATGTTTTGAGATCTCTACAGCTGGATTAGAGAACAAAAGTGCCTTTGCAGGCAGCGGAATAAACTCAAATTGACTTTTGAGTAAACTTCTCCAAGTCCTTTTTTTTTTAAAAAAAACCATAGTATTTCAGTAACATGTATGTAGTGTGAAGTGCTGCTGTTGTTTAGTAAAAATATTTCATCAGCTCTTGGAAGTAATGAAGCTTTCCCCAGTCAACAGTTACAAGAGTGTAAATACATGTGATACTGTGATGATATTCAGGTATTTTTATATTTTATAGTGGTGAGTGCAGGGGAGACTGTCATGTGACATCACTGTGTAGGATTTCCATGACAATTGTAAAGGATTCTGAGGGTCTTTGAGGAGCTTTTGCATTGCTGTTGTTCTCAGCCAGTCCTTCATATTCAGTCAAGGAAAATCCATTCGGGCTAAGAAAATTTCCTTTATTTCAATGGTTCTATAGGGTCTTTCAGTTCCCATTTCCATTCCACAAGTGCTTATTTTTTTAGGGAATGTTTTGATAACCTCCTCAAAGTACTCAAGGTATCCCAGCCAGGCTTTGCCTAGTCAGAGCAGAAGGAGGTGTGTTGGGAACTCTAGCATCTCTGCTGCAGAATCCCAGTGTGCTGAACTACATGGGTTGTTCTGGTGCCCCAAGAGCCAGGACTGCTGGAGAAAGCAAAGAATTCCCTCCCTTCTGATTTCCTTATGTAGGCAGGGAAGAGAATTTGGCTCATGGTGGCCAGTCTGCCTGGTGCAGTGCCAGTGGTGGTCTCTGCAACTTCTGTGCACTGCTAGTTTTCTATATTGGGGAAGCTTTGGTCCAAGGTGTCCTGTCCCAGACAGGTAATGTGTGGAAAGACTTCCTCAAGCCATGTCTCCCTTTCTGTGTCAAACCAAGAAGCTGGCATTTGTTAGTTTTCAAGTGGCGGAATTTTGAGTCTGTGCTACTTTCTTTCAATGTCCTTTTTAGAAGCAGTTTGCATGTGAGTAATGCAAAGGTCAGGCTGATCTGTTAGGTTCAAAAAATGAAAATTAACAAACCTGGGATAAGAGTTACAACACCTCCATCACCTCTGTCACACAGGTGATGCGCAGCTCTGAGTTTTTGGTGGCATGCCTGGGAATGGCCATGTCTAACTCCCAGTGTTGAATTAATCTGTCTTTATTCTTATTTATAAATTATGTAGTAAGCACTGATGTACTTAAGTAGTTTGTCAGTAGTATGTTTAAGCTATTCTCAAATGTATTCCTTCCAACTTCTGCGAAGTGTCATCATTTAATGGCATTCTGGAGCAAAACAAGAACTCAAAAAATATATGCAGTTGTTAAATTGTGAGCAGTGTGAACTATTTGGTACAAAGTATGAGCACCATTCTTTAGTAATGACTGCTATGTGTAGGAAGTGCTCACTGCAGTCAAAAGTAGGTTATGAAGAAGACTACAAAAATGAGAAAAATGAAAAATGTGTGTAGAAGGTGAAAAATTGAATCTGTCTGAAGGCTATGTTTAAATCACTGCTGACAGACTCCCAGGTAACAACACAAAGAAACCTAGTTTAAACTAGTAAGGGAGGGTAATAGAAGTAATAAGACAGCTTGCAGCACAAGTAAGTCCCATGCAAGTAAGGAAAATAGAAAAGACCATAAATGCTGGCAAGTTACATATCAAATCACAGTAAGATCACCCAAAACTGAATTTGAGGAGCTTGTTACAGCTGTAAAGACTAATAAGAAAAGAGAGCTGAAGAGGCTGATAGATGAGCTGCTTGCAAAAGGAATGGTTGGCTCAAATGAAAAAAACTAACATAGTTATTTCCAATGTTATTTGTCCAGTTCCCACTCTTGAGTATTATTAATTTTTTTTAGAAATGGGATATAATTCTGAAGAACTGTTTAAAATTTGATTTACCAGTAGTGACATCTCAGAACAAATTACTGTGTCATATAATAATAAAATTCCAGGATGAGATGGTTTTTAAACCTGGGATAGTATAAGCACCCAAATATGGAGCTGCAGAACGAACAACTAGTATGTAACTTACTGCTGAAATCAGAGGAATGGAAGAAGCATGAATGTGATGGTCTTTGAAAGGCCTCCAGGAGTGATTTGTAGTGATTCCTGTGTATCAGGAGGAAATCAGATATCAGGGGAAAAGACAGTACAGATTTATTTTTAAATAAACCACTAGAATTCATTGAAGGCATCAGAGATCACATGAAAAAGAAAGTACTTGCTGGTAAAGAAGTACATGGATTTCCAAGGAGCTGTCAACAACCTGACCAAATGCTTTTAAAAAAGACACTGCCATGTCATATCACAGGAGGAGGGAGACCCCTTAGGAGTTAATAATTGGTTAAAAGGAAAATAAAGTGTTCATATTTCACAGATTAAATAAGTTGTTGCCGATGCAGTGTTATTAAGGCCTTCACTGACACAGTTGTTAAAAGAAAAAAAGGAAATAATAGAAGCTAACAGACCTTGCTGGTTTTTTCGTAATGTTGTTTAGAGTACTTAAATGTAAAGCTGATTGTGATGACTTGGGTAATTATTTCATGATGCTGAGTGATCAGGTGATAAAATGACATGAGATTCAATTCTAGTAAACATGAAATTATGGGGAAAAAAACTGACTCTGTAAACACAGTGGTGGCCTCTAAATGAGCTATTACTACTCAGGAAAGAGCTTGGAGTGATTGTAAATAGTTCTCTGAGAATATCAGTTAGTGCTCAATGACAGTCAAAAGCCCAGAAAGCAAATAGGATGCTAGGAATTATGAGGTGTTGAGAACAAAACAGAGAAGCATTGTCATTGCACTCGTTATGTGAGCCTCATCTTCAACACTGCATGGAGTCTGGACACTGTATCAAAAAAAGGATATGAAAAATTTAAAAAATACAGAGGAGTGCTACCAGATTTGTGACAGACATGACATGCTTTTCAGACAAAAAGATTAGATACAGATTCTTCAGCTTGGAATATAGGTGACTGAGGAAAGAATATGACAAATCTATAAAATCATGAAAGGTGAAGAGAAGATGAATAGGGAATGGGTTTTTTTACTTTTTTTTCTTAATAGAGAAGCTAAGGGGCATCAAGTATAAATTATCAGGCAGGAGATCTCTACTGAAAGAGAGGCGGTACTATTTCATAAATGTCCCAGTTGTGTTGTGGATCTCATTGCCAGAGAACACTATCAAGAAGAAAGGCATAAATACATTTTAAAAAACAAAAGTTTGATAATGATAAGGTGGGATAGGTGTATTGAACTATTGTGTATGCTTCTCCTGTTACAAACTCTGGCTTGGCAGGCTCGAAAGTTATTGGTTGCTAAAACCAGGGAAGAATCACTCAGTAAGCACTCTGTTCTTCTACTGTTCCCCTTAGCAATCTGCCAGTTGTCAGGAACAAGACCTGGGGACCTCAATCTGACTAGAATGGCCCTTCTGATGAATATGACCTTATTAAATGAGCATTTTTGAGATGAACACAAAAGCATGATTTTTCTGAGCATTGTCAGAGGTGATCAGAAAGTTGGCCCTCCTTTTCCTGTCAGCTGCTAAATAAGCAGAGAGTGTAATGATGTATGATGTAATGAACATATGAAATGTGTTTTAGGACTGTTGTAAGTGGAGTATTTTTATTTTTTTTTCAGTATTATTTTAGTAGTGTATGGAAATGCTATGCTTCAGAGATTTACGATGGCAGTTTTTAACCTTCTCTCATCTTTCTTAACTTCAACCCCATGTGCAAAGTTCAACTTGCTGTTGCTCAGGTGGCAGCTTCAATTTTGGACACAATTGTTTGTAAATTTCTCTTCAGATACGAAAATCAGAGCAGTTTTGAAATCAGGCAAGGTCACCCATCATAGTATTACTCTGACAAAACATAAATCTGAATGATTTTTCCTACACAAAGATGCTGAGATGTGTATTGCATTGTTGTTACTGGATAGTATTGTAGTTCTCTTAAAGTTCAACATAAACTACTGGACTTAAAAATTTAAATGAATAGACTCATATTCAGGGAGGAGCTGTTGAATTATTTCTTTGAAATGTCTCATTTTGTGCTCCATTTAAGGTTATGTTATGAACAAGTAGAGGGTGCTTCTGAATTAAATGCACCCTTAACAGCTCCTGGGAAGGCCTGGGATGAAAGTTTAAATAATTACTAACATGTTTTATTGGCAATGGCAGTGAAAGGTCTCACTTTGCAGTGGTCTCACCAGTTTTACATTAGTTGTGGTAGTCACCAAATGCTAATTAGTTGCTTGTAGTATTGATCAGCAGGTTTTTTTACAATTTTGAGTGAGAAATGATAAGTCAGGATATTCAGTATTGTGAAGACTGTAATACAAGTGAGTTAGCGAGCTTTATGTAGAGCCATGTAACAGAAGACTTCCTTATCTTGCAAATCAAATGAGTAGTTTTCTCTCCTCACCAGCTGTTCATCATTCTAACAATCTCTCTGAGTCTTTTCAGTTTCAGTCCCATTTCTTTGCCATGTTCTTTCCTGCAGTCACAAGTTACACCTGTTTAACTTGTTTAGAGGCTCTAGGCTCATAATTTTTATTGCGCTTCTTAACTGGAATAAGAAAAATACTTGTGATTTTTTTTTTTCCCTTTTAAAAAATGAATGTTCAGTCTTGAACTTCAAATCTTGCAGTGTACAAAATAAAAAAAAAAATCCCTGTAGCATAGTCAGGACTTGTGCACCTTTTGTTGGCATTGGCTAAGAACTGCGAATTGAATCATAATGTCAATGTGGCCACCTCTTCATCAGTAAGATTAGATTTCAAGTGTAGTTTGATCTAGCCTATATATTGATAGCAACTGAGCAAAATACTAACAATTATGTTGCTGAAATATTCTACAGAGTGGCACTTCTGTATTACGTGATAGCTCATTGGAGGCAGAACTCATGCAGAAAAGTGAATTAATTGTTAAAAACCTTAAAGAGTTCATAATGTATGTAGAGTGCATAACTCAGAGAATTCACAATACCTGCATACATTTATAAACCTTAGGGTATAGTTGTGTGTTGCAAAAATAAGCCTGAGAGAAGGAAGATTGAACTTTAAAGAACACTTCTAAACAGTAAATTATCAACAGAATTTAGATTGCTTTGACTTTCCTATTTACTTATTATTGGAAAATTATTATTGCATGTGATTAATGATGTTTAAATTCAGATAATTGAAGTTCAGCATTTTACTGAATTTACTTCTGTTTAAATAAAGGATCAGAAATAAGTGTTTATCCAGAGGAGAAAGTGGCTAATAAATACAAATTATTTTATGTCGACTCAGTATGCTTATTGACAAATCAATGTAGAATACCGTTTGGTGCTAAACTAAGGTTGTGCACAGGACTGACCTTCAGTGAAAGTTTGGTCTGATGAATTACTACTATTTCAAGCTAAATTAGCTTGAAGAAAAGTTTCCAAACGTGATTAATTTGAAAGAACGAAAAGTTCTTTTTTATCATCTCGGTTGATGTTTTAACATTTAAAAAGTTCTGTATTTGCAGAAGTGTGAACTAGTTGTATCTTCTAGTTTACCTGCTTAAGCGCAAGTATTTCCTAAAAACCAAAGATTTGGTTTGTAAGTACTAAGGGTTACAGCTTATGTAAATCTTTCTCTGAAATACCAGTTCACAATGCTTTGCCTTAATTACAGTATTGTAAGTATTCACTTCAAGTGCAGAAGTCTATTACATCTTGCCAAGTGCTGAGTGAGATGTAGTGTTGTCTGACTTGTTGCCTCCACCACGTGTTAAATGTCCCAGTGCCACTGCTGCAGAAGAAGCAACGTGAGACTGTCCCCCCAGTGTGGTATCTGGTGTACCACAAATTCTAAAATGTTTTTTTTACCATGTTTTCTATTTCCACACAAAGTGTGAGAGAAGGTGAGTATGTTTCCTGCTGTAGAAAGAGCAAGCTGAGGCACATGAGATGTTATGCCATTTTGGAGAAGAAAATAAGGTCTTCAGCGCTACGGCAGATACTGAAGAGATGTGACCATTCTTCCAGTTAGGAATTCCTTCTGTTAAAGTAGCCTCGTTGACTGAATTAAAAAAAATATGTTAGGTAGGACTTGTATTACAGCAAGTCTAGACATTCACACTGAATTAAAAAAAAACAACTGAGAGTAATTACAAAAACATACCCATTTATGAGAAACAAACTGACAGAATCCACATGGCCATTGCTCCTGTCTCAACATAAGGCTCATATCCTGGCCTGCTTTTCATGGCTGTTGCAGCATGTAGGACAATCCTGTGTTGTTTCTTGCAGCTGTGCAGGTGTCCTGTGCAGGTCATGGGTTGTGAAGTACAGGAGGATGAGCAGATCTGCCTGTTGGGTTCTGCCTTTTCTGTGTATTCCTGGGGTAGATGGGAGGTTTCTTTCTGCTCTCAGGATGTTTATACCAGCTCAGGCTTTTGGCCTTGAGCCATGGCTTGCTAAACCAAGTGTAGATCTGTTTTGTAGAACTTCTATAAGAAAGGAAAGGAAAGGGAAGGGAAGGGAAGGGAAGGAAAAAGAAGAAAGACAAAAGAAAAGGCTGTTTAACTCTCTAGGCTCATGACAAAACTTGGAATTAAATTATGGTTTACTGAAAATCAAAACTGATTGTTGATCTGTTCCTGTAACAAATTGGCAAAATATTGGCCCAGATGCAGGACTTCTAATGAAGACATTTTTTACAGCTGAATTGGAGTTCTATATTTTATTATATTATTAATATACAATACTGGTTCATACATGGCTTATTTGGGTAAAATGAAATTCACTAAGATTTTTTTTTCATTTTCTGCAAGACTTTTATTGTTGCTTCAGGCATATCAGAGGTGACAAAATTACTTGATTTCCACCCCTCCACACCCTGCAAATTATTGGACTTTCTTTCTTGCCAGTATATTTCTGTAAACAGAAATTTCAAAGCCTTAGCATACTTTTTACACCTTTTTTAAATTAAAATCTTCCTTGGAATACTGTTCTAAACTTTGGTGTATTTTTATGTTTTGAGGTTATGTTGCACAGCTGGCTTTTGCTTTTTTTTTATGTAGTACTGGGCATACACTTTTCCTTACAATATGCATACAAATAGCTGTTAAATGGTGAAAGTTTTTATTTCAATTTGTTGGCTAACCTTATAACTGCAGGTGTTCTTTTAAAAAAAATTTATTGATGCATAAAAAGCATGTGTTGACTGTAATTGCAGGTTGATGCAACTGAGAGTGAACCAAAGAGTTTTATCTTTATGAGTGAAGATGCATTAACAAACCCTGACAAGCTGTTGGTCCTAATTCATGGTAACGGTGTCGTCAGAGCAGGTCAGTGGGCCAGAAGACTAATAATTAATGAAGATCTGGACAGTGGCACACAGATACCTTACATAAAGAGAGCTATTGAGGTAGGTGAAAGTACACGTGTGTACCTGCCATGTTTTATTAATTTCTTAAGCAGTCTTCAATGTAATAATACAATATATTCAATATACAATTTGTATTTATGATGGGAACACTTACTTGGGGTTTTTTTCAGAACTTTTTTTTTTCTAATGGAACCAACTTTCTTCTCATAAAAACAGTTTTAGTTGCATGTCATGTTATTGTGGTGTCACTGCCATGCAGTGTAATATGGCAGCTAATGTGACAAGAGCCCCTAAGAGGTGATCAGATGCAATAGAAGGCACTAGAGAAATTTGTTATGATTTGAAGTGTTCTCTTTTACAATTCGTTAAATTTGTACGTATTCTCACTCAGCGTCTGTTGTAATCTCATGATAACATGAGCTTTCATGATAACAGCAGGCTTTTTTTCTAGGCTTGTACTGAATTTATTAGAGGCACAGTCTTTTTCAGTTTTGCACTGAATACTGATTCATTCTGATTCACCTATCAGTACTTGACAGTAAAAAACATTTACATTTTATGGACACTGTTTTGTTACATTTACATCTTATGTGAGAGACAATGCACAATTTGTGTAATGTTTTTAACATTGGAACTTTCTAGGTGCAATTAATCTCTTGCATCCTGTATACCTAAATGATACTTCCTATAGTAAGCATTAGAAAAGCCTATTTAAGGCTCACTATTTCTATTATACTAAGTTAAGCTAATGTTCTACTCCAAATATCAGTGTTGTCACTGTGATTGTTACACGTTTTGCTAAATTAAGTTGCATTTTTTACAGTTGGCTTTATACTATTCAGTATAGAAGACAGTTCTCTTCAATCTGTTTTCTTTCTTTTTTTGAAAAAAAAAAAAAAAAAGCTAAGAAAGAAAACATATTTAAACAGTGGGCCATTAAGTTATTTTTGTCTTGCCCATTAACAAGGCATAACTTCGTTTTGTTAGGGTGATGCTTGCCTTCTTCTAAAATCAAGTTTCTGTTAATTTTAAGTCAAGACTTAAAGGCAGAACAAAAGACACTTTATGGCTATTGAGTGTAATAACCGTGTATGCTAGGTCCAGTGTTGGAATTTCATTTCTATAGTGCAAGTTCCAAAACCTTTATTAAGAAACTCGAAGAGCTGTAGCTTAAATTTTTGTAGTGCTGTTTGCATGCCTGCATTTTCATTCCTTCCTAGAGATGCTGCTGTCTTGGCTGCCATGAGAGACTGAGCATTTAAAGTTGAGGTATTATCTCTAATAAGAGAGTATTTCTAGTAGAGAAGAGTTAAAATTCTTATTTGTGTTTTATTTTATGCAATGACTGAGCCATTGTGACAGAGATCAGACCTCTGTTCCCTCATGTTGTTATTACCCATGAGAAGAGATGATGTATCTCTGCATCTTAAATGTTTCTTAAAAAAACACAGAAAAAAAACCTCAAGAGTTTAAAGAGAAAATATACTTAAAGAACCGCAACCATTCAATCACATTGGGAAATCAGGCTTTATGCTCTTATCTTTTGACTTCCCTCCTTCATTGAGTAATTTCAGGTACTGTAAAACTCACTCTCCAGTTTTGTTAATCTTAAAATTCTGGTTAATGTACTATGTTCATAACACATACTATTTGCAATTATTATTTTTTCGTGCAAAATGAAGGCTAGATCAATTGTATTTTATTAAATGTGTTGCTATTTTTTTGTATCCTTTAATCACTGGAGTGGGAATTGAATGCATATCTCCTTAGATAAGACAGTATTTTATAGAAGGCAAACTCCACTGAAGGTATTTGGAATCATTATGCTGTGACTAAACAGAGAATAATGATAGTTATTCCTGATGCTATGTCTAGTTCATGTACAGATCATACAAATTACTCTTCGAAATACAGGAAATTACGGTAGAGTGAGTATCAGTCCTCCTATTTTAGTTAATAATAATAAAAATTGCATCCTTTCCTTGGTTTTCTGGTATTCAATCCTCTAGTTATTTAGGCATTTCTGTCTCTTATGAAATGAAAATAACTGGTCTATGTGGTAAATGTCCTGAAGAAAAATGGTGATAAAACCTCATACAATGTTCCAAGTTTGAAGTAAGGAGTAATTTTCCTTGATCTTCCAGTGTTACTTCTAATAAGTACTTCTAATAAGGGTCTCATGCTTGAATGGAACCAGCAGACCTTATCAAAGCATAAGATTACTGTGCTGGTAACAGGAGGGCATGGAGTTTTCTTCTAATAAACTGTGAATTTGGAGCAGGTAATAGTATCTAGGGTTTGAAAATTGTGCTAATCTCTTGTGAGTGTGAAACATATGCGGGCATCTTAAAACATTTGCTGCAGACAGGGTGTTGGTCTTTTTAAATTAAAACCCACAGAAGTAGTGCTTAAATATATTTTGTGCAAAAACTAGTTCTGAAGTGTCGCCTCTACTTTCCTTAAAACCAAAGCAAGCAGATGAACAAAAAACACCCTCTAGGTAGGGCAAAACCATATATATTTTTCTCTACTGCTTTCGTCTTCAGAGAGTGACACGATGAACACAAGCAAGTTTCAGTTTATTTCTTGGAAAAACTGAGAACAGGGATGGAAAAGCTGGAGTTTTCAGTGAGCAGTGGATTGAGCAGGATGAGCTGTTACTGCTTACCCAAACAGGAAGAGAAGAAAATATATTATTTCTCCCTAGTACAACACCTTAAAGACAAAAATAACCCAAAAAATCCCCAAACCTTTTCTCTTAAAGCATACATGAAATAAGGGAGTAATATAAAGGCTTAAGATTTGTCATTATTTTAGTGGCTTGGGTCTGATACACACTGGAAATAAAAGATCCACAGAGAAATATCCTGGTGGGAATTCAAGTACCTAGAAATGTGGGTTTTCTTTTCATCTATTTGATTCCTGTAGGTAATACTGCTCCTTCCATCTTTTATATCAAATTCTGTTGTGTAGATTCAATCTTTCATGTAATAGGGTTGGGAGTAGCTTACAAGGTTTTATGTGAAGAGGTAAGATTAATGTGTTAATTCAGAAATTCAAACTTGGTCATGTAAGAGAAATTTTGAAATATGAAAGAAATGGAGAACAAACAAGCAGCAAGATAGGAAGCAGACTGTAGAAAACGGAGGAGGGAGAAAAGTGTGTACAACGTGAGAGACATATCTGTAAATATATTAAAACATGGTAGGAAAGACAAACTTTAGAAAAAAAGTATTAAAAAGGCAAAAGCACTAAGGCAGTAAGGAAAGCTTAATCAAAATGGTAACAAATAGGTACCATACATATATTTAAAACAAACAAACAAAAAGATGGCAATTTCCTACGGGTACGGTACGAAATAAATATTGCATAGGTTTGTTGTTTTGTTAAGACAGAACTTTTCTACTGAATCTTTCTTCAGTGGGAAATTCTGATTTTTACAGAAGCAGTCATCTGACATGCAAGAGACTATAAAGTTCCACATCCCTCCTCTGGGAACGAGGGACTGTTCCATTTATAATGATAATACCGCACTGAAGCTATCCCACTTTTTATAAGTAAATAATTGTAAATGATATTAGTAAACAAATGGAAATTAGAAGAAAAGTTTTAATCTGTCTACTACATTTTCTGTAAATGTCTCATTTGCTGTCCGTTGAGTTGGGCTGTTTTCAGATCAGTTGTTACTCACTTATTTGCGCAATGAGTGAAACAGCACCGGGGCAAAATGGTGAGAGGCAGAGATAAATAAACTTCAATTTGGTGATGAGGGCATTTACTTGGGGTGCCAGAAATAAAGGATTTTCATGTGGGCAGTTCAGGAGCTCCCATGTTCCTTATGAAGACTTTGTTTGCCAGGTTATTTAGGAGGAGGAGGTTATGAGGAGCTTGCTTCTCTGGTGCATTGCTGAGTGGTGGCAACATGGGCAGTACTCTAGAGATTCATCTGGAAGATGCAGCAGCAATACTGGAGAACAAGAAGGGGTGCAAAAAGGTGGCCGCTGCTCCGTGCAATGTGTTCCTTCTGTAGTGCTTGGAGAAGTGGATTCTGTGCTTTGAAGTCCACAGAGTGTTAGTCAAGGAGAAGTTGAAGTTCATCTGTCTACAGGGGGAGTTTCTTCCTTGGGGAAACAGGAGCTCAGCTTTCCTAAGTTTGGACATTGAGAAGAACTTTGTAGTACTCTTATCTTTGATAGCTTTCCTCTAGGAAATGAAGAGTACATCAGCTTACTGCAGGGGAGTATAAAGAAACTGTTGGATGCTTTCTGTGTATTAGGAAATTCAGTACATTTGTTGCCTAAGATAGCTGTGGTCCCCAGGATGCTAATGAAATTCAACCACATCAACTGTCAGTAATTTGGTATTTTAATTTAAAAAAAATAATCCAAGAGTTGTTGCCCAGTATCAAATTCAGCACACTTTAGGATGCCTTAGATCTTTTGATTATTATTTTAAAAAGAATTAATTACTGACAATAGGAGTAAAAGCACCAGGAAAAGAGCTTCTTTGAAGAACCTGGCTGAGATTTTTAGAAGAAATGCAGCAGCAGCCAAAAATCTGATTTCCATGGACAAATGAAAAAAATCCACCCTCTTCCCAACGATTTCTTCACTTAATAATATTTTTTTACAGAAGGTTGTGCTTATTCACTCATATTATTATCACTCATTAAACTCAGTTGAATGGAACAAAAAATCAATCAGTGCAGCAGCAGTAACCTTACCCATCATAACTTTTACGTGACTTGGTAACCTCACTGGCGATTAACTGGTATGGTAACACATTTCAGTCTTTCCATTTTGTAAAAATAAACCAGTTTCAAAAGTCAGTATTTACACATTGTTGTCAGAACATTATTCTTTGTCTAAATTACAGCAACAAGAATTCTTTCTCAATTTCATATCCATCTTTGGAGCATAGATTATCTTAATAGATTTTAAGAATTTAAAACTTTGTCTTACAGTTTATACATACTTAGCATAATTTCAGTAAGACAGGCAAATGACACTTTCTGGGCTGACATTTCACTACAATTACAG